CACACACACACACACACACACACACACAGCTCTGTTTGACGATATATACATATACATATACATATATGTGACAATATACATCTTCATCTACATCTACATAGACACCGTGCTGCAGCAACACAATGTACCAACACTCTGCGACCTTCTCCTTTGCACAGCCACAAACACTGTTACAATCGGCTGTAGCTGCCATTGTCTCTGTCACAATCACTACAATGACATGGTTTCTGCATCCATGTGTGCAGAGGACTGTCCCTCCGTTCCTGACTGCAGGCACCCTCCGCATCTGGACACTATATGTCCATTTTGCGGCCATGGGCGCTATACTGAATGCATGGTCTTTTGTGGTGACCGTGCTTCTTCATTTTGGCCTGCAATCGACATGCCATTTGTCGGGTGGGCATGCTCAATGCCAGCCGTCGTGGCAATTGTTGCACTGAGAATGCTCAGCTAGGTCTTCCATGTGTTCATCCACCTCATCCTTACAATGTATATCCTCTCTGTCGTCAAGGACAGACTCCTTCTTGAGCCTTTTCTTATCCGCTTTTGCCTTCATCTTCACTCCACACTCTGTACTTTTCCTTAGTTTCCCTTTATCGGTCTTTGTTTGTCTGCTCTCCATCTCTCCTCCCTGTGTTTATCCCCTCCCCTTTCACTCTGCCTCTTTCTCACAGCGTACAAGTGAGCCGTTATGGTACATGGGGATGGCGGCAGTTTGCGCTCAACTTCATCAATGTGGCGAGCCTTGCACGTGAGAGGCACGGTGAAGGGGGAGTTAAAAGAAGAATGAGAAAAATGAATGGTTTCAGTGTGCCCTTCATGTTTGTCTTGTTTTTTAATTTTTTATTTTTGCCGTTTGTTTCGCAAAGTGCGCTCTTTTAGTTCATAGTTATGTGACAATATATAGTGTCAAACATACAGAGCTGCCCGGTAAACCGTAGGCAGAGAGGGAGAAGAGGACAACAAAAGAGGGGCTGTTACAGAGCGTTTCGTCAGAGTTTCACTGACTCATCAGGAGGCTGAACATATATATCGTCATAGAGAACTGCCTGGTGAACTGTAGGCAGAGAGGGAGAAGAGGTCAACAAACGAGGGGCTGTTCATCTATTACATTGTCCCTCCGTCCTTTCTGCTAACTTTGCCGCATTCGCTCTGCAAACGAAATATTGGTTCATCGCTGTGTAAAACATTGACAACACTTTCACAACAGATAACCATTGCAAATACGATGTTGTATACCAAAATGCACAAACTAAGCTGAATATCATCGGAAGTCACTCACCGAGGTCCGTGCGGACGCCTCCTTCTTTGGCATTTTAAAATTTTACAATGGACCTGTTTTCCAGTTCCATTAATATAACATTTGAAAAAAAAAAGAAAAAAAACCTGCTTCAAGTCTTCAGAGAAGGCAAATGGTCAAACCGCTGAATATCATCATCACCAGTCGTCAAGGAGAGAGCAAATATGCTGTTGGCACTGCATCAACTGCGAAAACTGAGCAGGCAGTCCCTCCACTCTCACAGCTGTTGCAGAGGGGCGGATGCATTTTGGCTGAGAGGGTGTGCTACATCTAGTAAATCCACCGAACTTCTCCTCAACACCAAGCCAGAGAGCAAACATCTTTGATCATGCTGTTGACTCCGCTCCAAACAGTGTCCATTCCAATGCTGACAGCATCTCAGAACCCCTCCGCCATCCTCTCACAGTCAATGTCACAGTTCTCCGCAGCGCATAAATTGAATACAGTTCGATGCGCAGGAAGACGCATGAGTGGAGCCCAACACTGTTTTCCTGCAGCTGTTACGATCGTCATCATGTCCGCACGATGGAAGCGGATGATCATGAACTTTGTCCTCCTTCACGCTCTTAAATGAACCAAAACATCGAATCCTTAATTCATCGTTGGAGTCAAGGTCCTCCTCCAAATCACAGGAACTGAATGCAGTTCAATACAAAGGAAGAGGCAGGAGCAGAATAGAACTCGCCATTCACCAAAATCGATGCCTGCCTGCTGAGACTTCTGGGTCTTGCTGAGCCTTGGGCACTCCCTCTCCTGAGAACGCTGTTAAGTTTGCGAGGTGGTGGCTTTTGAGATTGTTGTTTTCGGACCAACCAGGATATTAGGAAGCCAATCTCCTCCTTCGGGAGGGACTGACTGGGGTGGGGCGGAGGCGAATGGGTGGTGAGAGTTGAGTGGAGTGGTAATAGGGAGGACCCGCGGTGGCAGGAGTTGGCAGAGTGTAGGGGACTACCACCTGATCGTCAATGACTGGATGACCATCGAGCCTTCCTTTCCGCTCCGCCCCTCATCAGACTTCCCTGATCCTTTCTCGCCACGCCTGCTTTCTCTGAATGAGGCGATAGACTGAAGGGCAGATGGCCGGCCTGCTTGGGACATCCCCTAGACTGTCTGCATGTATGTGCATGTGTGTGCATGGGTGTGCCTGGATCGCATGCGTGTTGGTACGTTCAGCCCTGGAGGGCAGTGCCCTTGCTCAACCCTGCC